AACGATAAAGACCTTTTAAGAAGGAATGTGGTAAAGGTTAATACGATATACAAAAGGAAAGCGGAAAAGGTCAGACCGGTAGATTTAAAAGTGTCGGATAGAAAGATACTTAAAAGGATCGACGATTAGTTTAAGCAAGATAAGAAAGCGAGACTTCTTAAGCTTAGAAGACTTTTTTCGAAATACTTTACTAGCAGGTTTTCAAACTTAGAAGTTAGATTAAGATTAACGAAAGAACGATTCGAAGCACTTACGATTAGCTCTCAAATCATCTTAAAAAAGAGAGAGCTGCTTTACTAATGCCTTTTGAATCGAGAAGAAGCGATAGCCTAAGATTTTACTTATCTTGGCCAAGTCCGGAAAGAAGTTATGCTACTTTAAAAGATCAAGACGGTGCTTTACGAAGCTTAACAAAAGAAAACGTTTATAATACCGAAAGCTTTGCAAGAGATGGTTATCTTTATGCTAAAAGAACGGTTGAAGTAAAGGGTCTTCGAACTATGCTAAAGCCTTTACCGGAACAAGTAGTTCATTATAATAAAAAAAGAGAAAAGAAAATATAAGCTGATTATTGCCGTAATTAAGATGAACCGTGTAACGGTCAAGGACGCTAATGTTGCCTTGAACGTAGATTAGTTTTCGAACGAATTTGCCGGTCTTACGATAGCTATACTCTTAGACTTCTTTTTTAAATACGATCAATTCCTTTTCGACGTTAAGTTTAAAGACATGACAGCTATTCAAACGCTTATCGGACTGCTTCGGATGACTCGGATACTTATAAAAGCTATTAATTCGATCGCTCAATTCGTTAAAGTCATTTATAAGATCCTTATAAACTGCATTCTTAACGTCTGCCTGCCTTACATAAATGACGTAAGAGTCAAAGGATCGCGATTTTTTTACAACTACGAAGAAGTTTTGCTCGGAATTCGACGATTCGTTTTAAAGCATATTTAAAATATCGACAAAGTGCTCGTAAGGTTTAAAAGAGCTAAAACGACCGTCGGAACTAAGTCTTAATACTGCATGCTTAGCCTTAATATCGTTAGATTCGTCACGGATAGCAAAAGACGCTACCCTTAGACCGCCAAAATTAAAAAGATACTAGAATAGACTAAATGCGAAGATGTATTAAAGGCCCGAGCCTTTATTAAGATCGTAGTTTATTACAGAATCTAGATTAAAAACTTCTTTACAATTGCTGCTTTAATTTACGCGACTATAAGAAAAAGGATCGAATTCGAGTAGTTAGAGCCTTAGCAAAAAGCGATAAGGCTGCTCAAGGAAGCCTTGCTCTTTGCCCCCGCTTTTATCAAGATCGACTATAGCAAAGAAAGAAGGAAGATCTATTTGACGGTAAACGCTAGTCTTAAAGGATAAAGAGCAGTATTGCAACAAAAAGATTCCGACAAAAAGCGATATCCGGCCAGGTTCGAGAATAGTCTTTAAAACCTTACGGAGAGCAAGTATGACGCGACCAAGCGAAAGTGCCGCGATGCTTTAAAAGCTATGAAAAAGATAAAGAGCGAATTATATAAGGTTCACTTTATCTTAGAAACCGACGCCAAAGTACTAGTTGATTAGCTTAACGGATTAGCGAACGACTTGCTTAGAGCCTTTATTACGAATTAGATTGCGTAAATAAGATTAATAGACTTTAAAGTCAAGCATATCCTTAAAACTAAAAACACGGCAGCGGACGGCTTTTTTAAGAGAAGAAGGGAGCATCTTTTAGACATCAGGGAGAAAGAAGAAGAAGATATTGACGATTAAGTTATTAATAAGCTAAGCATTATTTTAGTATTTTCAGTTAAACGACTCGTGAACTATAGTTTACGGGCTAAAAAGAGAGTTTTAAAGCACGATTACTCGCCCGACTCCGAGCTTATTGCTCAATTTTTCATTATACTCAAACGCTCTTCCTCGATCAAGACTTACGACTTCTAGAAGTTCAAGAACAAAGCACTTAATTACTTGGTCAGAGATAATTACTTTTATAAGCGAGCAGATAATTCTTACCCGATCAAGCTAGTTGTCGACGGAATTTAAAAACGCTATACTGCTATTTCCGACGCTTATCGAGAATCCGGACATAAAAGAGCCGAGTCAACTTACTACCGCACGTCAAAACTCTTCTTTTAGAATAGATGCTACGAAAACTGCAAAGCTTTCGTTTAAAGCTGTAAGCCTTGTTAAAAGCGCAAAGCTGGACGAATAGAAAACCTTTTATATTCGACCTAGCTTATTTAGATGTGGTCAAAAGTCAGCCTGGACGTATCACGAGTATCTATTATCGATAAAAGGATAACCTGCTTCGTACTAGCTAAAAAAGATCTATTTAGATAGCTAAAAGGGCGACCACTTCGATCGGCTAACGCTGAATTTATTATTAAGTTCTTTTAAAAAGATATCGTTTACCGTTATAGATTATTCGGGAAATTGATTATCGATAAAAGACTTGAAAACAAAGCAATTGCTAAAGCTTTCGCTACCAAGTACGGGATTAAGAGAGTTTAAATCTTAAGTTACAATTCAAAGGCTAATAGAATGATTGAGAGAAGCTATAAAGATATCTTGGATAGCTTATCGAAGGTTATAAACGGAGGATTTAAAGATTAGGTTCGCAAATTCAATAAGATGCTCTTTGCGGTCCGGACATCGATACACGCACTTATTAAAGTTACCCTTTTTTTTTTGAACTACGGACGGGAAGCTGAGCTACCTTTAAAATCACGATAGCCAGTTTAGAGGTTACTACTTTAGCAAAAGGTTCGATCTCGCGCTAACTTGCTTGCTTTAAGGTTTAAACAATTAGAACTCCGAGATAAAGATATCGACGAGATCATTTTAAAGAAGAAACGCTATCGGCTTGCCGCTAAGGCCACTTAAGAACGTGTTAAGGTCTTAAAGTCGGAACTTATTAAAGAAAAAGACTTAGTACTGCTTTACGACGTCAAACGCAGCATTAACATGTCCGCGGATACCAAACTAAACTACAAGTAGCTAAGACCTTATGTCGTCTTTAAGGCTTATGATAAGAGATACTATAAACTCTAGGAAGCCGATGAGATTAAGCTTAAAAGTACTTTTGCAGCCAACCGCCTCAAGCGATTTTACCGCCGCGACTAAATCTTCTTTCTTCTTGATAAGGACGACGAAAAAGAAAAAGAAGAGGATTCGGATTCTTCGGACAACTCAGACCTTAGCGAATACGAGCCCTTCGACGACGGTAAAGGTGAACCACTTAACTTAAGGGTGACCTTTGGACTTAAGTCCATTAACTTCCAAATCATTCTCTTAATACTTTCGAAAGAACAAAAACTAGCTTATAAAATTGTTTCTTAATTTGTTTTCTTTTACTTTGTTTTTTTCTTACTTTCGTATCTTCTCTTTGTTCTACACTTATTTTATAAAAGGACGTGCCTTCAATGATCACTCTTTTTGTTTTGATAAGGAAGGGTATTTCTTACGTTTGTTTTCTTACTTTTAGACCTGCCTTTTATTATATTCTCTATTCTTTCTTTGTTCCTCTCACCTTACTGGCTATTCATTTGTCTTATACAGATTGTTCTTATTGTTTGATTGTTTTTCACTTGTTTGGGCTTACACGGCTATTTCTTATTTCCTATTTAAGACTGTTCCTTTGTTTTAAGCGTGCTCAACTACGTGTATTCGAAGGTGAATTGCTATTGGGAAGAGTAGGTCTTCCCCACAAATGCACTTATATAAAAAAGCTCTCCCTTCCTTCTTCTTAACATTTTCTCTCTTTATACAACAACAATTACAATAACACCATCACTCTTTTTTCACAACTACACAATACCACATTAATACCAACGACCTTAATCATCACTCAATCAATCACCGCTATTATCAGCCCTTTATTCCGCCATCTTATGTTTGGCCCGTGAACCGTGGTTCACGAGTCAAATATGCTTCTTAAGTCAACCGCTGCTAAAGGAAAAGCCTTTATCCGGGATTCACTTTCTAGCTTACTAATGAGCGAAGAGCAAGCTGCTTTAGCTCGATAATCGAGTTTCGAATTGAAGTTCGAAGGACGAATCACTAAGACCTTCGATGAGTTCTTTTAGACCTACCGTTAAATAAGCAATTCTAATCAACTAGCCATGCTTAAGGTAGCAACCTCCGACCTTAATAATAGATTAAGTAAAGAAGATGACCTGATCTTGCAATACGACTAGTTCTTGCGGGCCGAATGCGCAAGAAAGAATATAGACGCTGAAGATCTCTTTTCGGCTTACGACCAGTTTACCATCAAAGTCACCGCTATCCATTCTTTACGCAACAAGAACGCCGAAAGCTATAAACGAATCAAAAGAGCCTTCGACGGCGCTCGAGGCTAATTGCTATATGACGACCACTTTAAGGCTGTATGCACTTTAGTCCGCAACGCTCGCTAGCTAAGCGTCATTTTAAAGAACTGCACCTTTAACGCTTACGCTATCCAAGTCATCAACTACTACATTGTTACTTACGTCGCCTTCTAAAAGATTACAGCTAATGTAACCCGAGGACGCAAGTTCACTAAGCTTAATGCTACGGTAGTCAACCTTATTTGCTAGACCGTAGAAGACAAAAACAACACTAAGTGAAAAGATAAGATCGTTATTCTTGACGAAAGACTCTTAAAGAAGCTAAGATTAAAGGTCTTATTATATAGCTTGTTGATTTTGGCTCTCGATAATATTAAAAGCGAATACGACGAGCTTAAAGAACGTATAAAGTTTGCCGACGAGAATCAGACCTAGAATTTCGTCTTGCAAAAGGAGCTCGAATCCGGAACTCTACTCGTAAACTATAGTTCACGAGTAAAAGATAACTCAGCAACTAAAGCAAGACCAAGTCAACCCTTTGCTCTTAAGACCCCTTTGCTTAGATCACTTATTGCGCGCCCCTCGTTGTTACCAGCTTTGTCTTAAGGATCGACGTCATCCTTTGCTAATAAAGCCTCGAACGTTAAACTAGTTGCCTCGATCATGTCCACTTTACGCAAGTCCACCGACGCGAGCTCCTTTGCAGCCCTTGCACCCGAAGTGCAACGCGACCCTTTCGAGAACCAGCTGCTACCAGCATTACCCGTTAAAGAAAAAGACAGCCTCGAGTACGAACTAGCCAAGGCTGTATCGAACCGCTGCTTAAGACTCGTCGAGATTAAGGACCTTATAAGTATAGACGTAGCCCTTATTAACTTTTGCTAAGACTTCCATCAATCAGCTTTCGACCGCCTGAACTTAAACGAGAATATCGATAATGCCTTTCAAGTTGCCGCGGAATCAATTAAAAAAGCTGTCAGCTAGATCCGCAAGCTTTTAAAGGACGAATTTTTTAATAACGCGATCTTACGATTCTTCGACCGTCGTAGCTAAGTAAGAGCAAATAAAGAAAGAAGCAAGGTAGTAAACTACTTCTTGCTATCCGAGATCTTTAATTTAAGCTTTAACGACGACGATTGCGATTGCACAAAAGTCTTTTAAAAGGTGAAGAACGTATTAGAATTTAAAGATAGATTTAAAGAACTCTTTGACTTGGACGTCCAGACGAAGCTCCGCTTTAGCCGCAAAGTCTTATCGTCCGCCACCGACCTATTAAAAAGAGTCTTTTGCGAAGTCTATATTTTCGAATACGCTAAATACTTTAGGCTAGCTACGAAAGGCCTTATAATAACGGTGATCCGTTCCAACTTATGTCGATTCATCGAAGCCTTTTAAACCAACGCCTTCAACAACTTCATGCTTTACCCGAGCAACTAATCGATGTTCGCCACCAAGACTAAAGGCAATACTCTAGCTAAGAGAATGTCTAGCTTAAGCTCTTCTAAGTTCAAAGCTAAGCCGATGTCTCTCAACAAGCTGAACTAAAGCATTAGCCTAATAGGCACCGCTTGAAAGAATAGCCTCCTCAACACCTTAGATGCGAGTAGCTATACGAAAGTTTAGCTTATGTTAAGAGCTTCTTTTTTAAACAACAAGCACGGCAACTAGACCTTCTTTACTATCATAAATAAAGAGATCCAAATGTATCTCTACCACTTTCGGACTAGTGATTTAAAAAGAACCCCGACTAATGCACTCTTTAATATAATGCACTCCTTGACTTAGCAAGTCTTTCGAAGCTATCATAAGCTGTACCTTGCCGCCTTGCTTAATCGCCGAGACGGAAACTATAAGCTTATCGCTTACCCGGAACCTCTTTAGCTCTTTAGATGCAACAATAATGCTCGAGTGATTGCGACTAAGCACGACGCTGACACTAAACGACCCGTGAACCGTGGTTTACGAGTAGAAGACAAAGTTTTAAACTATTACTTGATGCCTTACGGCGTGAAGAGTTAGATCGGAAGCTTAAGTATTTGGCTTAAAAGCTACACTTACGACACCACCCTTAAAAAGACCGCCAGATAAGAAGCTTTTAAACCTAAGTCGAAAACCTTGGATGCTTTTAAGAACATTGCGCCACGCCAACTTTTCGCTATGATTATAGATCTCGCCACTTTTATATCTATTATTACGAAATAAAGTGTTTTCTTAAATATAAACGCTTTCTAGAATTCCTTTTGCGGATAAGCTATTTTCTTTAATAACTATACCGCTTTGCTGAACGATAGCATCTTAAAGAATAAAGTCAGCTTTGCAAAGCACGCTTGCATTATCGTCCTGAGACGCATGCCGTTAATCTTTCGGTAAAGAGTTATTAATGAATCAAGCTAGCTTTTTGCTGCTATAATCTAGCTAAACTACGTTAATTTCGTATTAAAAGCCTTGATCGGAAGAATAAATTGGAACGAACCTCGAGTGGTAAAAGAATTGACCGCTATTTTTGTTATATCTCGAACCTAGTTCTAAGAACACCTTATTAAGCATAAGAAGAAGTTGTTTTCGGCATTTAAAAAAGGATTTGCTGTTGTGTTAGATGCGGAAGCTAAGACTTACGGAGCCAAGTCCTTTTTTAAAAGCAAGAGCCGCCGAGCTAACGACCTTATAGACGCCGACAAGTTAAAGGATTTTAAAGAGAGCTTGCGACCGATTGAATTGTCTTTTAACGACTCCGATTCAAGTGTAGAGATCAATTTAGAAAGTGCGAAATCCACTCGTAAACTACGGTTCACGAGCCAAATCGACGAATCTAAAGCATCGTCTTCTCAGCCGGAATCCTTAAACCGCGCTTTCGATAAAGCTATAAAAGCCTTAAGTGACTTGCTCGAAAACGAGGACGACCTCAGTGGCTCTAGACCTTACTCTGGCCTCGCTAACCCTCCGTCGGCTAAGTTCACACTTATCAACGATGCTATCAACAAGCGCAAGAACGACACGCGCTCTTTCACCCTTAAGGATGCTGCTACTAGCACTTCATCATCTAATGCTGGCCCAGCCAAAAGAAGAAGACCCTCCCAGCTTAAAGAGAACGAAAGAGTTAAGGACGTAAGTACGGAAAGAGACTATAAAGAAGCTGCCGAAGCGTAGTTTAGTAGTTTGGATGTTTAGAGTTTAGAGACAAGATACCCCCCCCCCTTTTTGTATACTAGATTTTTTCTTTCTTCTACACCCCCCTTTTTCCTCTTTGCTTGATGGTAGGCGAGGGCGCCTACCTATTCTATAAAAGGACGGATGTAAACACCCTGCCTAATAGGGTACCTGCCATAGCCACTAGGGCCACACTAAACGGACCCATCTTCTATAAGAGGGCACACATCTCCTAGCTAAAACAATCAACGAGCTTTCTACCCATCTTTCTGACACTTCCTTGTGAGACCATGAGGTCTAGCCTCAAAGCCAAGCTTCTGTACGGCACATCTTTTTGGGTGCTTCTACAATATAAAAGAGCTAAATCAACTTATTATCGCATATTAAAATTCTTCTTTTAGAATAGATGCTACGAAGATTGCAAGGCCTTCGTTTAAAGCTATAAGCTTTATTAGAAACGCAAAGCTAGACGAATAAAAAACTTTTTATACTCGATTTAGCTTACGCAAATATAATTAAAAGTCAACTTAAACGTATTACGAGTATTTACTATCGATAAAAGGATAACCTGCTTCGTTTTAGCTAAGGAAGATCTATTTAAATAATTAGAAAGGCGACCACTTCGATTAGCTAACGCCGAATCTATTGCTAAGTTCTTTTAAAAGGATATCGTTTACCGTTATAAATTATTCGAGAGATTGATTATCGATAAAGAACTCGAAAATAAAGCAATTGCTAAGGCTTTCGCTACTAAGTACGGGATCAAAAGGGTCTAAATCTTAAGCTATAATTCAAAAGCTAATAAAATGATTAAGAAAAGCTATAAGAATATCTTGGATAGCTTATCGAAGGTTATAAACGAAAGATTTAAGGATTAGGTCCGCAAATTCAATAGAATGCTCTTTGCGGTTCGGATATCGATATACGCATTTATTAAAGTTACTTTCTTTTTTTTAAACTACGAACGGGAAGTTAAGCTACCTTTAGAATTACGATAGCTAATTTAAAGGTTATTACTTTAGCAAGAGGTTCGATCTTGCGCTAATCTGCTTATTATAAGGTTTAAATAATTAAAACTTTAAGACGAAGATATCGACGAGATCATTTTAAGGAAGAAGCGCTATCGATTTGCCGCTAAAGCTACTTAAGAACGAGTCAAGGTTTTAAAGTCGAAACTTATTAAAAAGAAAGACTTAATACTCTTTTACGACGTTAAACGAAGCATCGATATGTCCGCGGATATTAAGCTAGATTATAAGTAGCTAAAACCTTATATCGTTTTTAAAGCTTACGATAAAAGATACTATAAACTTTAGGAAACCGATAAAACTAAGCTTAAAGGCACTTTTGCAGCCAATCGCTTTAAGCGATTTTACCGCCGCGATCAAACTCTTTTTCTTTTTGATAAAGACGACGAAGAAAAAAAAAAGGAAGATTCGAGCTCTTTAGACGACTCGGACTTTAATGAATACGAGCCCTTCGACGACGGCAAAAGTGAACTACTTAATTTAAAGGTAACCCTTGAACTTAGGTTTATCAACTTCCAAATCATTTCTTTAATACTTTCGAAAGAATAAAAATTGGCTTATAAAATTATTTTTTAATCTGTTTCCCTTACTTTGTTTTTTCTTACGTTTTTATCTTTTCTTTGTTTTATATTTATTTTATAAAAGGACGTGCCCTAATAATTACTTTCTTTGTTTTGGTAAGGAAAAGTATTTCTTACGTTTATTCTTTTACTTTTAGACTTGCTTTTTATTATATTCTTTATTCTTTTTTTGTTCTTTTCACCTTATTAGCTATTCACTTGTTTTATACAAATTGTTTTTATTATTTAATTGTTTTTTATTTATTTAAGCTTACACGGCTATTTCTTATTTCCTATTTAAGACTATTCCCTTGTTTTAAGCGTGCTCAACCACGTATATTCGAAGGTGAACTGCTATTAAAAAGAGTAGGTCTTCCTTACAAATATACTTATATAAGAAAGCTTTCTCCTTCTTCTTTTCAACATTTTCTCTTTTTATATAATAACAATTATAATAATATTATCACTATCCTTTTTTTATAATCATATAATATTACGCTAATACTAACGACTTTAATCATCACTTAATTAATCACTACTATTATCAATCTTATTCCGCTATCTTATATTTAGCTCGTAAATCGTAATTCACGAATCAGATATGCTTTTTAAATTAGCCGCCGTTAAAAGAGAAGCTTTTGTCCGGGATGCACTTTTTAGCTTATTAATAAGCGAAGAGCAAGCTGCCTTAGCCCGATAATCGAGTTTCGAGCTAAAGTTCGAAGAACGAGTTACTAAGACCTTCGATAAGTTCCTTTAAACTTACCGCTAAATAAGCAATTCTAATCAATTAGCTATGCTTAAAGTAGCAACCTCCGACCTTAATAATAGATTAAAAAGAAAAGATAACTTGATTTTATAATACGACCAATTCTTACGAGCCGAATACGCAAGAAAAAACATAAACGCCGAAGACCTTTTTTCGGCTTACGACTAGTTTATTATTAAAGTCACCGCTATTTATTCTTTACGTAATAAAAACGCCGAAAGATATAAACGAATTAAGAGAGCTCTCGACGGCGCTCGAGGCCAATTGCTATATAACGACCACTTTAAAGCTGTATGCATTTTAATCCGCAACGCTCGCTAACTAAGCGTCATTCTAAAGAACTATACCCTTAACGCTTACGCTATTTAGGTTATTAACTATTATATTATTGCTTACGTCGCTTTTTAAAAGATTATAGCTAATATAGCTCGAAGACGCAAGTTTATTAAGCTTAATGCTACGATAATTAATCTTATTTGCTAGACCGTAAAAGACAAGAATAATATCAAGTAAAAAGATAAAATCGCTATTTTTAACGAAGGACTTTTAAAGAAGCTAAGACTAAAGGTCTTATCATATAGCTTATTAATTTTGGCTCTCGATAATATTAAAAGCGAATACGACGAGCTTAAAAAACGTATAAAGTTTGCCGACGAGAATTAGACTTGGAATTTCGTTTTGCAAAAAAAGCTCGAATTTAAAACTTTATTCGTAAACTATGGTTCACGAATAGAAAATAACTTAATAATTAAAGCAAGACCAAGTCAACCTTTTGCTCTTAAGACTCTTTTGCCCAGATCACTTATTGCGCGCCTTTCGCTATTACTAGCTTTATCTTAAGGATCGACGTTATCTTTTGCTAATAAAGCTTCGAACGCTAAACTAATTGCCTCGATTATATCTACTTTACGCAAGTCTATCGACGCGAGCTTTTTTGCAGCTTTTAAACTTAAAGTGCAACGCGACCTTCTTAAGAACCAGCTGCTATTAGCACTATCCGTTAAAAAAAAAGACAGCCTCGAGTACGAACTAGCTAAAGCTATATCGAACCGCTATTTAAAACTCGTCGAGATTAAAGACTTTATAAATATAAACGTAGCTTTTATTAACTTTTGCTAAGATTTCTATTAATTAGCTTTCGACCGCTTAAACTTAAACGAAAACATCGATAATGCTTTTTAAGTTGCCGCGGAATTAATTAAAAAAGCTGTTAGCTAAATCCGCAAGCTTTTAAAAAACGAATTTTTTAATAACGCGATTTTATAACTTTTCGACCGTCGTAGCCAAATGGAAGTAAATAAAGAAAGAAGCAAAGTAATAAACTACTTTTTGCTATCCGAGATTTTTAATTTAAGCTTTAACGACGACGATTACGATTGCATAAAGGTCTTTTAAAAGGTAAAGAACGTATTAAAATTTAAAAATAAATTTAAAAAACTCTTTAATTTAAACGTTTAAACGAAGCTCCGCTTTAGCCGCAAAGTCTTATCGTCCGCTACCGATTTATTAAAAAGAGTCTTTTGCGAAGTTTATACCTTCGAATACGCTAAATACTTTAAGCTAGCTACGAAAGGCTTTATAATAATAGTAATCCGTTTTAACTTATATCGATTTATCGAAGCCTTTTAAACTAACGCCTTTAATAACTTTATGCTTTATTCGAGCAATTAATCGATATTCGCTATTAAGACCAAAAGCAGTACTTTAGCTAAGAGAATGTTTAGCTTAAGCTCTTTTAAGTTCAAAGCTAAGCCGATATCCTTTAATAAGCTAAACTAAAGTATTAGCTTGATGGGCACCGCTTAAAAGAACAGCCCCCTTAATATTATAAATGCAAATAGCTATACGAAAGTTTGACTTATATTAAAAGCTTCCTTTTTAAACAACAAGCACGGCAATCAGACTTTCCTTACTATTATAAACAAAAAGATCTAGATATACTTTTACTACTTTCGGACTAGTAACTTAAAAGGAGCTCCGACTGATGCACTTTTTAATATAATGCACTCTTTGACCTAGCAAGTCTTCCGAAGCTATCATAAGCTATACTTTGCCGCTTTGCTTAATCGCCGAGACGAAAATTATAAGCTTATCGCTTACCCGGAACCCCTTTAGCTCTTTAAATGCAATAATAATGCTTGAGTAATTGCGACTAAATACGACGCTAATACTAAACGACCCGTGAACCGTAATTCACGAATAAAAAACAGAATTTTAAATTACTATTTAATATTTTACGGCGTAAAGACTTAGATCGGAAGCTTAGCTATTTGGCTTTAAAGCTATACCTACGATACTACGCTTAAAAAGACCGCTAGATAAAAAGCTTTTAAACTTAAATCAAAGACTTTAAATGCTTTTAAAAATATTGCGCCGCGCTAACCTTTCGCTATAATTAATGATCTCGCTACCTTTATATCCGTTATTACGAAATAAAGTGTTTTCTTAGATATAAACGCTTTTTAAAATGCCTTTTACGGATAAGTTATTTTTTTTAATAATTATACCGCTTTGCTAAACGATAGCATACTAGAAAATAAAGTCAGCTTTGCAAAGTACGCTTGCACGATCGTTTTAAAACGTATGCCGCTAACCTTTCGGTAAGAAATTATTAATAAATTAAGCTAGCCTTTCGCCGCTATA